GTGTCCCGGCCGTGCAATCTGGAGAGAAGGGGGGTGTGGCGATGTCATTAGCAAGACAGAAATGCTTTCTACCAGAGATGGTTACTGATAGAATTAAAGTGGTATATGAGAAATCATGCTGTCCCGTAAACAGCTAGCACTCAATAAATGTCACTACCCTTCTTCAGACTCTACTGCTTCCAAGCAACTAGTCCTACGCTATTAAAAAGGCAGCATGATAAAGAGCCTGTCTGGGCAACCACCATCCATAGAAAGTCTCAGAAGCAGTAGGCAGAATTAAGACCCTGCCCCGAACCCAAGTGGAATCCATGGGCTCTGAGGCACCCTTTCTTAGTTCTTGTTTTACAACGGGGTCTCCGCTTGAGACTGACCTAGGACATCTATGTGCCACTTAACTCTGGGTAAGCACGCAAGTTAAAAAGAACAAAAAAGAAAACATTTCTTTACCTTGGTTTCCAAGCTTCGCCTCCTCTTACATCATACACTGTGGGTAAATGCAGGAGCCCGGTGGCATCTCCATCACCAAGATAAACATAAGATCCTGTGAGCCCCCCCTCCCTTCCCCTCTCCCCCCAGAGTCTTGTCAGAGTCTGGGCTTCAAATTTATAGGTGGAGACAGTTATATCTAATGGCCTTCAGGAACATTGACTGAATGTGACCTCCTTAGTCCAGGTCTTGCCATTGGTGGATAACTAATTTAAGGTTCAATCCCAGGAAATCAATTTAAATCTCAGTGAGCAAGACTGAAGTCTTTTGTTCATTGTTGTTAATGCTTATGGATGGCAATGGATACACAACCCTCAATTTAACTCTGTTGTTTACACACAAAGGGCAAGATAGGGCATCTGGGAGCTTAAAGCCCCATGACTTCAGTGTCTTTTGCTCATTGATACTTTCACACCCTTCATTCATGGTGTCATCCCTGGCAAAGGCTTTCACTTAGGGAGCAAGATCACTGCCAACTCGTCCCAATTAATACCGTTTGACAAGATTAACACATAGAGGGAATGGCTGGTGGTGAACATTTCCATTTCTATGAAAGTGAGCTATACAAAATAGAGGCCCAAAGTCTTCAAGGCTCTGTAGAGAAACTCATGGCTGAGAGGCTCCTAGGTAAGCTGTCATGTGTGTCCATCACTGCTGCTGGTCATAACTCTTGCCATCATCAGGATCAAAATCATTAAATAGAATCCCTTCCTTCATGTAGCTTGCAGACCACTGGGGCATTTTTGTGTTACATGTAAACCTGTACATAGAGGGTAAGTTTGCCAAAAAACATAAACGAAACATGCAGCTTAATTGTTTGCTGGAAGATGATAAACCTACAGAGGTAACTGGAAATTAGAAGTAGGCTGAAAGGGAAATCCGTGGGCAGTGGAGTGTTAATTGGGGTGGGAAGAGTGGCCCGCAGGGACATTTTGCCTAATGCTTGAAGATGACAGAGTTGCCTGGGCAAGCTTTGCCATCAGAAGAAATACCCAGGCCACATGTTCACTTCATAAGTCCCCTCAAAATGCATCCAAGCTTGATGTTGCAAGGCAGCCATTCACATGATAGGTCTGGGTTTTGTTTTCAGCAACTTGGGCTCTGTGGCTGCTGCAGAGAAGATTCTCCTTCAGCCCACACACAGAAAGCTCTAGAGTGTTTATTTGCAACTCGAGCTAGATACTATTTAAAATTTCTGTGTGTGGTGTTTCACCTGCATGTTTGTCTGTACGCCATGGGCATGTAGAACCTCCACAGGCTGGTGGAGACTGTTGGATTTCCTGGGACTGGAGTTACAGGTGTTGGCCACCAGGTGAGTGCTGAGAATCAAGCCTGGGTCCTCTGGAAAACCAGTGCTCTTAACTACTGAGCCATCTCTCCAGCCAGAACTGGCTGCTTTTTATCACTGAGCTCATTTATTTCCTTTGTCACTTCATCCAGAGATGCCAGAAGCCATTAGCCAGCCTCCTTGTTTCCTTTGCTTTTCCACAAATAACGCTTTATGTGTGGAAGAATCATCAAATGAGCTGCTTCTTACAATCAAATTCAATTGTCTTGCATAGTCCTCCAAATAGTTTGCTTTATGGATTCTCGGTGCCCTCTTTGTCACCAGAGGAGTCTTTATTCAGTAAGTGCGGATTTGTTGAGTTGGAGAAACAGCTCCAGATACCACCAAGCCCACTAGAGAAATTCATCCCTACAGCTGATTCTCTAGAACAACTCCTGGGGCCACAATCTCTGGTAGTCAGGGTTCTTTAGAGGAATGGAAACCGACTGAATAAATAGATGTTTTAGAGGTGCCCTGATTGCCTTAATTGCTGCAGCAAGACCCACCCCAAGTGTGGGTGGCACCCTCTGGTGGTGGTAAATTGCTTTGTGCTGGTTTTTTTTTTTTTTTTTTTTTGCCTTCTTGGACCACCACTCTCTCTGGCCAGTTCACCTATCCCGATGCTGCTGATAATTATTATTTCACTGACATTAGAGGCAGCTTTTTAAGGTTTATAACAGGAACTGGAGACAAGCATCTCTCTAAGAATACTCCAGGCCTTTGGTGTCAGAATGGGACTGCTGAGACATCCATCTTCCTAGACCGAACCACTGTTGGTTCTCAGCCTCACCTGTGTGAGATGACCATTGTGAGACTACCTGGACCATATCCAGTCTATATCATGTAAGCTGGTCCATTCAATTCCTCTTTAATATGTTTGTCCTGTCAGTTCTGTTCCTTTAGAGAAAACACACTGATACAGTACTGTACCCTCCTGAACTCATTAATGCTGTCTTGAGGAGTATGTCAAGTCATCTGTGACTAGGTTATTTTGTGGTTTCATTTCTTCCTTTTCTTTTCAAGTGCCAAAAAATAAACCCAGGGCCTAGAACATTCTACACAAGCATTCTATGCTAAGCTATATCCCCAGCCTGGGAGCAGGTTGTTATAACGTGACACTACCCATGCCTCGGCCCTTTCTACACATTGAATTCACTCTTCATTTCTCTGCTGGACATTGTCACAGTCAAGGACCCTACCAGAATGCCAGTGCTATGCTGTTAGGAACCTCCAGCCATCAGAATCGTGATCTGAAAAACCCATTTTCTAGATAAAGTACCCTGCCTTTGTTATTTTGTTATAGCAGCATAAAACAGACAGAGACATTGCATGTGTTTGTTAAGGGGGGAGGTGTTTTTATTAGTGATCACATGCCCTAGTGCATGATGTGTGTCATATGTGTGTAAATTACACAGGATATATGCTGTACTCCTTTTTGATATATATATGCTCTTTATGCTCTTTTCTCTGTTTTATTTGTTTGTTTGTTGTGGTTTTGAGACAGGGTCTCAAATGGTAGCCCACTTGACAATATTTCTGGACAGTAGAACATTTGCCATATTCTGCTTCAGGAATTTGACACTCAAGTGATTTTTTAGTGTTTTAAGAAAGAGAATGCAAGGAAAGCTTACACTTTTAAAGAAATCACCTGAACTCTTTGCACTTGGGTCCAAATTCTTCTATGCATGAGAAAGGAAAATTCATGACCTTGCAGGGCTTGGGGGTTGGTCTCTCTGGTGCAATGAGTGCAGGAATGGAGGACAGACACAGGTACAGAAAAGCTGGGATGGGATGGGCCGTGGGTTCTGTTGGAGATGTACTGGCAACCAGGAAACCACTGAAAACTCAGCTCTTTCATACATCTGAGTCAGGGAAGTGGGGTTGTTAGATGCAGCTGGACAGGAAGACAGGTTTAGCTAACCTCAGTAGGAGGAGTCTCTGTCGAGGAGCAACCTCAGGCTGTAAGCATCCAGAGGAGGAAGCTGCAGCTGAAATTATTTTTTTTTCTGTACACACTGTCAAAATGTGCACAGACACTAGGAGAAGGCTTTGAAATTCCCCTGGGTCCAAGGCATTTGGGTCCTTGACATGGCTGTGCTCATGTCAGCAACACTCATTCACTGAGGACTGTATCCTTTCCTTACACAATCACTCAGGGCTTCTTCTGATCCCCACAGAAAAGGAAACTGCATAGTTCTTTGTGTGTAATACTTCCTACTCGTGTGCATATATATGGTGGGGTGTGTTGTGATGCAATTCCTCTACTCCACCCCATGTAGGAATCTTAAACTTTGCTTAGTCTCACTCAAATACCTGTGAGATCTGTATGTGTCAGGTCACTGCATAACAGCCCTATTCTTTTCAAAGGCTACTTCATATTGTTAATCGCTTCCATATTGACAGGCGGGGTTGCTTCCCATTTGGTTTCTAACAATGCTGAAGTCAACCTTCCCATGCATGTAATTTCATGAGTTTGTCCATAAATCACTGAGTCATTCAGAGGGTGTGTGTATGTGTTAAATATGAGTAGATATCCATAACTGACCACTTTCATGTTTTACTTTTCATGTGTTATTTTGATATTCTATTTTCTGCTCTGGGGAAGGAAAGAGCCTGTGTATATTAGGCAATGCTCTACTACTTATCTGCAGCCCAGCTTGTAAGAACCGTAAAATGTCACAAAAAATAGTTGTTGGTCACATGCTGCAAGCTTGCCTTGCTTTACATTGTCTTGATTTTGTTTATAGTACCTTTATTTTTCCTCCATATTGCTCTATTTTTAAATTATGTGGTTATTTTTTGTATGAAAGACTTCCATAATATTGGAAAGGCCACTACAAGGCTAAATAATAAAAAGCAGTTTGTCCAAGTTGTTGTCTAGAACATTTGTGATATAGATCTCTTTGAACATTCTGGTAAAATAAAATCTACTCATTTTTTTCCAGTATCAATCTGGTCAAACTAATATTATTATTCTGTTGAATTCACAGTGAGGGATACTTTTCTGTCATCACAGAGCTGTATGGCTGCTACCACCATCTCATTCCCTGAACCATGCCCCCCTCCCCCGCCCAAACACACACACATACAGTGACGCTATTTCTAAGCTTGTATCGAATTAAACGCACCTGCGCCCATTGCTGCCCAGGGATCTTTGGCTACTGGAGCCTTTGCGGGCATTTGATGGATATATCGATGGGTTTACAACCCTGCCTCCTTCCTAGGAAGCAGAGAAGAGTGGATTATCCTCCAGAGCACCAGCCATTTCTGGGATAGAAGCAAACCTAACATTTGTACTCCAGTAAAAACTGGAGTTTGCAGCATAATTCACTTCATTTATCCAGCCAACCCCACTTGTGCAGATGAGCTGATGTCCCTAAGCAATGTGTGCCAGGAGGTGAGGAGACAAGAAGGAGGGCTTGCTGCTACTAGGGTCTAGGAGGCACCTTACAGAAATGGGGTAGGGTTTTTGTTTTGTTTTCTGGAAAAAAATTAAGGTAAGGCATGGTCTGAGGATCAGAGTTCTGGTCAGCTCCATCCCTCAGCTTCCGTGTAAGGTTGCTTTATTCTGCCTGCAGTGTCTCCACACTGTGGACGAAGCAGCTTTGTCCCTTTCCTCTCCCCTTATCTACTGTCCATCTACTCTGAGCAAGCCCTGAAGTGAACACAGCATTCTGCCATCTGCATATTCAAACACTTGGCTCCACAGCTGCGCCTGTCTGCGTGTCGCTTTGGATGGCCTCTCTGCTCGCACAGGCTAGAACTGCTTACTTGAGATGTCGCGGTCCTGGAGAACAAGCGAGGCACTGTTCCACTGGCTTGCCGGGCCTCACAACAGCCGTGCACAGGTGGGTGCTGACTCCCCGATGATAAAGTAGTAATGAACACCTAATTATGGATAATTGCATAATGAAGGGCGAGCTTGCCTCTGCCAGTTCACAGTTGCAGCTGGTACCCGAATGACTTCTGCTTGTGGTAACAGGTTACTTTGTTCTTGAAGCATTTGACGGGAAACGGCAGGCTGCCAGCACACCAGCATGGATTAAATGATCCCCAGCAAGTCAGTGCCTGATTGCTGTTTCTCCAGGGCAGGACAGGGAAGCCTGAGTCGTCATCCTCCTAATTACCCAGGGAGATTAATTTGTGCACAAGGGCTATGGACTAGCAATAATGTCTTCCATGGGGGGAGGGGCTTACAAATATTTAGGCTATGCAGCCACACCCTGCTGAGTTTCTGTTACAAGTCACCTGTATGCTGGTCTGTAACAGCAGCTCCACTGAGCAGTAAACTGGAGCATGCACAGTGGTCCCAAATCTGCCGGTTTACGAGGATGGTTTCTCACGTTTGCTAAGAATACACCTTTCCCGCTCTGTTTTGGACCTACGGGACCTAACCATGCTCTGGCTAGGATAGTTCAATAGACTTAGCCCCTGTCCACAACACTGCCACTAATTATGAACCATGAAAGTCACATTTCTTTTGGGTGGGCCTCAGGTGTAACATGAGAAAGGAAACTCTAAGATTTACCAATATAGTCATAGGACATTTGCTGCTCTAGAGAAGACATGTCACTTGGCTACTCTCAGTCAGTCACTCATTTAACAGTTCATTCCTTTAATCACTGGGTGACCTGGCCCAACCTGCTCATTTATAGGCTGCTGTGATAGCCCCCATTTTCCCAAAATGAGACTTTCTAAATGTCTTTCCCATTCTAAAGGCTTCTTTCCTCCCTCTCCATCCTCCCTCACTTCCTATCCTTCCTTCCATCTTTCAATCATCACCCTGGAACCCTTTCTGCTGAATGGTATCCATGCTCCATGCCCTTGATACCTATAGCATTGTCATCATGGTACAGATAACACTAGTGAACTTCTGAGGCTGAGGAGTAAAATGTAAAGGGTCTCTTCCTGTTTCTCCTGGGTTGCTGACACTTGCAACCCCACTGCCATGCTGGGAGGGATCTCACCAATGGGGGTATGAAGAGGCACCATCCCAGTATGCTGCCTGAGCAGCAGCAGGTTGCTAATTCTGCCAGCCCTCCACCTCCACATGGATCCCACAGGGCCCCTTCAAACTGTTCACTTGACAATACACGAGATCCAGACCTGCTGTCTCCTTACAGCCCTTCCCAGCTGCATTCAATGAGCAAAAGAAATGCGTGATAGTTGTGCAAGCATGCGGACTGGGCATGGTTTGCTGTCCAGCAACAGGTAACTGATGACTGCACGACCGAGTGTAGAATGTGTGTGTGTTTGAACGCTGTAAATAAGACACCTGAGTGGTGCTGAGCCAAATTGTGGATGATTATGTAGTAGATGTGATCCATTGGGCGATATAAATTATAGAGGTAATTAACAATGGAGTTTAGAAGTGATATCAGGGACCAGAGTGATGGTGAGGAGGTCACTGTGTTAATTACAGCATGAGTAGATATGCTAAAATTAGCTTCATGGTTGTAGAAGAAGACGAGGCAGTTGAGGGGTTAGAAACAATCAACGGGGCAGGTTTTCTGATTAAATGTGAGCCTGAGGATGAGATGAACACTGCTGGGATTTAAGCTCCTCCCATTCCCAGAATCCACCCTGGTGCTCTTACAGAAATGAGAAAATTGGAAAATTGGCAGAGGGAAAATCTTCTATTGCTAACAGGTTGAGTCAAGACTATTTGCGTTCACTGTTTCTGTAACAAGATACATGACACCAACAAACATAGTTATCTGTAGAGGTTCAGAGTAAAAGATGTCTGTTGGGGGTCAGAGCATTGTCTGGGGTGTCCAGGTGTCGCTAACCTTGTGAAGTGACTTTGCTATGTCTAGGGTTTGATTTCTAGGCAGAACTTGTGCTTTCAGCCTCCTGCGACACAGGGAAGCACATTAACCAAGTCCAAAGGGCTGAGTTACAAAGTCAGTGTTCTCGTCCCATCACCTATAATAAGAGCTGTCACCTGTCTGGAATATGCCTCTCAGCATGACCTGCACATTCCTTCCTTATAGGCAAAGCTATGTAGGAAGCCAACTCCTAATCACAGATCTCCTTCTGGGAACGAAATCAAAAGGAGAAGCAGGCGAAGTGACTCTTTAATGAGGGAGAAAGGGGGCCCAGGGCAGACACATCTTCCGTAGATGAGTTCCCAGTGGGCATGGGGTGGACATCATCCAACCACCCAGTGTGTTTTGTCTCTCCCCACCTCTATTTTTCCCCCTCCTCCCTCATTCCCTCTTTTCCTCCCTCTTCAGGACCCTCCCTCCTAAACTGTGCCCGAGGCCTTATTCTCTACTTCACTGAGGAGCCCCCCATACCTCTTAAAGAGCGGCACATTTTACTTTGGACAGACTCATCCTAGTGCAATGCCTGGAGTCACTCTGCCTCTTCCTGCTGTCTCTGTGACTGCGTCCATTGTATATCAATTTCACAACATGTGCTAATTGAAAGCAATCTACTTTTCAAGTTCTTGTTGCAATATTCTAATCATTCTGACCATATCCAAACAGATCCCTCTTAAAGATATCTGGACCAGAAAAACTCCCCGAGCCAGGGACATCTAAGCCAAGGAAATGCAGGGGATAGTCAAGTGCTTGAGAAAACTCTTCCAAGAGAAACCTGTACAAAGGTGGGGAAAAGGCACGAGGCTCTGGGGGCTGGAAAGATGGCTCTGTGAGTAAAGGCCTTGATCCCTTGGTCTCACATGGTAGGAGAGAACTGACTCCTCCATGTTGTCCTCTGACCTCCGCACACACTCTGCCATACTTACGCCCCGGACCCAAATAAACAAATAGATGTAAACAATATTTTTAGAACTTGACATGAGACTTTGGGGATATCTAAAGCCTAGGAATCATAATGAACAAGTTTCAAAAGGGTCAGAGAGTGGGTACAGTATAAGTTCAAGTGTCCAAGGGTCCAGGGGTCCCAAGGTCCAAGGGTCCAGGGGTCTAGGGGCTCAGGGTTCCAGGGGTCCAGGGGTCCAAGAGGGAGGGGAAGTCTGAGAGGAAGATGTAGTGTGGTTACTGGAGCAGACAGGTAGAGTCCAGCGTTTCAAATGCTTTGTGCCTGAAACTTTTCCACCTGTGCCCCACTGAGGGAAGTCACACAGCCCTTCAGCGATGCACACTGTGACTTGGACTTAACATAGCTAGCCAAGTGCCCAAAATACTCTGAAGTCTGTTTGTTTCTCAGTAACATTCCAGCCGGTAGGCAAGTGCCAGCGTCAGCATTCAGGCCTGTATATTTTCTTGTCTCCTCATGTAATGATGCTATTAAAGCACATGTTAGTATGTCTGTTATATTTTAAAAGCTTCCCTGTGAGATAAATTAGGTACTTTTCCAGAATTTGGGTCTTTGCTTTATGGCCACTTAATCTGACCTTGATGCATCAGCCCAGAGCTGCTCACATCTCTGCTCCTCGATCCTGCCCTGGGTCTATATTTGAAGTAAGCTGGGATAGCATAAAAATTCAGAAAAAGGATTCACAATAGCACCCTTTCAGAAACTTTCTTTCTGTGTGGAGCAGCTTCTGTCAGCCTGAGCCACCTATTCATGACAATTCTGAGGACACTGCCTGACAATAGCGAAGGCAAAGAATGACACGTTCCTCTCATGCCTTTGAGACAGCATCTCACTATGTAGCCCAGGCTGCCTCAAGTTCTTGATCCCCCTGCTTCAGCCTCTTTGCGCTGTGACCACAGGTGTGCACCACCATACCCAGCCTGAGACTCTGCATTCATTATTTCCTGCCACCAACTGGTGATCACGAGTGGCTGTGTCTTTTCTCTAATTGGATTCGTTTCTGGTGGTTGGTTATGCAAAGAAGACTTCACAGCTTCCATTCTCCCAACAAGTCTTTACCCAGCAATTCGTGATTTGATGGTTTGCCTTACTATCTAGAAGTTGCTTCCCATTTTTTGATAGCAGCATCAGTAGGAAGACATTGGGTCTTTTGGAACACACACAAAAACTTCTATTTAAATACTAACTTAATATGCATTATGCATTATTTTGAAACAAAACAGCAAAGTCCCAGGGACAGCTATAATTTGAAGAAAGAGCCCAGGACTACCACAAAGTAGTGTCAGTTTGTGGTAGGAAAATTCAGACTAAAGAGAATTTGAAGGAAAATATTACTTGAAGAAACCTCGCCCTGAAGCAGTCTCTTAATAAGTGGGTCCTTGCTGGCATAGCTGTGTTTGCTCCCCCATTCCTCAGTCCAAGTGACTGCCACAATAGGAGGAATGCTTAGGAGAATCAAACTCATTTCTTCCCTTTTGGGAGCTGAAATTCAGGGTCTGGGTGGTCATGGTGACATTCTTCATCCATGTGTCCTCGTTTGGGAATGTCTGATAATGAACCACACTGCAGGCTGTGGACCCCAAAGTACGTAATGAGTTGAATACTCTTGCCTGTAGTGCCCCACAGCCCAGTGGAAGGAGGTAATGTTGCTGATGATAGTAAATATGGAGGAGGGAGTAAAGGAAGGACCTGAATTCCACAATCACCCTGACAATGCCTCTAAGTATCTCTAAACCAGTGGTTCTCAACCTTCCTAACGCTGCAGCCTTTAATACAGTTCCTCATGCTGTGATGACCCCCAATGATAGAATTATTTCGTTACTCCTTCATAACTGAAATTTAATGCTGTTATGATTTATAATGCAATATTGATATGCAGACCCTGTGAAAGGGTCATTTGATCCCCCAAAGGGGCCATGACCCACAAGTTGAGAACCACTGCTCTAGATCATTGGAACTTTGTGAATCCCTCAGGAAAAGAAATAAGAATCAGACACACTTCAACTATAAAATGCTTCATCTGAAAATAGTTTAATTAACCAAGTAAAATAACTAAAGTAATCTCCCCTAGGAATATTTCTTGGGCTCTGCACATAGTGGTGATGCTTCAGCCTGACCAGGAAGGCCATCAAGAATTGAAGTATGTCAGCTCCACAGCAGACCAAAGCACTGGACAAAATTTGTTTTAAAAAAGACCCAAAACGGTGCTCGGACTATTGTTTAGTGGATGGAGTACCTGCCCCTGTGTAAAAGCTTGGCTGTTGCAGTACATGACTGTAACTCCAGCTTTGAGATCCGGAGGACTGAGCCAGACAAAGTAGCAAGCTCCAAGTACAGAGAGAGACTCTGCTTCAAAAAACTGACAGGAAGGGTGATAGAGGAAGACACTGCACACATGTGCAAGACACACACACACACACACACACACACACACACACACACACACACGCACACACACAGGAGCCTAAGAAAAAAGATAAAACCTGTGTATGATCAACAAATCCCTTAAGTTGGATGATTTTGTTACATCTTCCTAACACTGGTGGACTCACTGTATTTTGTAAAAAGTTGTCATACGTTTAGTATCTTAATGCAACTGAACTTTATTCTCGTACTGTTAGGGCAGTCTGGAGTGGGTTAGATCTGTGCTCCATCTGAGGATGCATGGGACACCCCATCTCCCAGTCTCTTGCAGAGCCTGCCAACTTTATGGATCGGCTGCCTTACTGTGCCCTCTACTGCTTGCACAGCGTTTGCTCTGATTGGTCCTCCTGTGTCTTCTTTCAAAGACCTGGGGAATTCTGTCTGCGTGGTAACCTAGCAGTCACGTTTCACATGGTGTTGTGCTGGGATACAATAGGAGCAAAAGGAGGCAGCGAGTTGAGTGGTACCTGCTCAGAAATTCGTTAGGAATTTGCATCAGTCCAGCCTCACGGGAGTTGCAGGTCTGTGTCACCCAGAGGGCAAGTTTGTCTGCCTCAGTGACTCTGAGAAAGACCCTCCACTCTGTGGTGGTAGGCACTCGTCAGACATTTACAACAGGAACTGAAGGAGGGGCCACAGATAAGATATTTTGCCAATGAGTGCAGAAGATCCACCTGCTAAAGTGGAGAACTACAAGAGTCAGTGCATTTGTATTCCATGGTCCTGATGGGGCAACATGATCCCAGATTCAGGGTTCTTCTTATCAGCTGATGATGCCAGCTCCAGAGAGATGCTCATACCTCAGAACTGTACTCCACAGAGTTCAGTGTGCACCCTCCTCCCATAAGTTGTGAGGATAAACAAATTGATCGCTGGGTCTCAGGTGGGGCCTGAGACTGTTTTTTATTAATTTCTATGAGGATGCTGGCAGCTCTGCAATGCACTCTGGGTAGCTATGGCTCTATGGGTCTCTGTTCTGTGCAGTCACATGGAGCCTTGTCTTATTTACAAGAAGTATGAACATTGTTTTTATGCCCCGCTGTTTCCATTCCAAATAACTTTGTAATCTGAAAACCAAAAATTGTCATTTTGCATTTGGGCCCTGCAGTGCTTTAATTCAGTGGCTTTCAACCTGTATTCTGAGACCTTTTTGGGGGTTGTGTATCAGATATTTACATTGTGATTCATAACAGTAACAAAATTACAGTTAGTAAGTAGCAACAAAATAATTTTATGGCTGAGGGTCATCACACCACCAGACACTGTATTTAGGGTGGCAGCATTAGGAAGGGTGAGGACCACTGTTTTAACTGCGTCTGCTTCATTCAGTGTAAGAGCCAGGTGTGAATGGTGACCGCATTCTCGGCCATGCCGTGTGCTGCAAGGTCTTTAACTCCTATCTTTTTGCCCTTGATTATTGTGCCGACTGTGTTGTTATTGTTATTTTATCATCTTGATACAAAGTAGAGTCACTTGGAAGGAGGGGACTTTAATTAGGGAATTGCCTCTATCCATTTGACCTGTGTGAATGTCTATGGTACATTTTCTTGATTGATGATTGATATGTGGGGGCCTAGCCCAACGTGGATGGTGCCACTCCTAGACAAGCGATCCTGGGTTGCACGAAGAAGCAGGATGAGCAAGCGGTAGGAAAGTAAAGATCACTCCCCTATGGCTTCTCCTCCAGTTCCTGCCTTGAGTTCCTGTCCCAGCGTCCCTCAGTGATGGAGTGCGACCTGAGAGGCAGAAGATGAAACAAGCCCCTTCCTCTCCAGTTTGGTTCTGGTTCTGGTGTTTTACCGCAGCAACAGAAAACAAACTACAGCAATTATAAACAAGCTGAGTGGTCACTGCTAAGAGTTACAAGAGCTGTGGGCCAAGTGAGATGACAAGTGACTGCTGATGTCACCTGCTTACAAGCCACTCCTCCAGCAACCATTGCTGAGAGCTCCTTTATGCCAATGCTGTTGAATTGGTATTACTATTTTTCCTATTCTATTCTTAGTAATCATTTCCCCTGTCATCTCATTTAATTTTTATTAAAGCTTTGTTGTTGTCTGTGTTTGAACGATGAACTGGTGCTGTTGGCTTCTTAAAGGAAATGAAGGTGACCTTGCAGAGGGAAACTGTGTAGTCCTAAAGCCGGGCATTCCCTCTAACATTCTCAATTGTTCAGGGTGTGCTACTCAGATCCTTCCCAGGCTGGCTGACCATGTCATCAGATATCATAAGTGGCCATGTCATTAGAGGTCATAACTTTCCCCAGAAACGTGCTGTCTATGCTGGGAGCTCAGAAGGTCCCAGAGTTTAGACAAGAGGTTACAATCTGAAAACAAAATCTCTAAGACAATGAAATAAAATAAGATACAGAAAATACCTGATAGAAAAGAAAATAGAAAAGGAAGGGTGTAGGGAATGCATTCATCTTTTCCCTAGGTGAAGCAAACACGATGTCAAACAATGAATTGGAATCAGTGAAGCCATAAGTTCAGAGTTTTAAGCAACAATATCCCAGATTCACACATTTTGCTGCCATCTCACCAGATGCTTCATCCATTCTAATGTTGCTCTAGCAACTTTTCTAGACAAGAGCCATGTGCACTTCCCTGTGTAGTTCTGCCCCTTTGTAGAGCATGCCCCTACTGATGCTGTTGTCTTGGCCACTTGTGACATAAAGCAAACCGATAGGTCTCTGTGGTCATCCGTGCTGGTTCATTTTTCTTTTTTTTTTTTTTTTTGTCAACTCCAACATGAGCTCAGGTCATCTGGGAAGAGGGAACCTCAAATAAGAAAATGCCTCCATGAGATTGGCCCATAGACATGTCTGTAGAGGCACTTTCTTGATTGATGTGTGAAGGCCCAGTCACTGTGGGCAGTGCCACCTCTGGGCAGGTGGTCCTGGGTTGTATAAGAAAGCAGACTGAGCAAGGCACGTGGAGCATGGGTAGCAAATCAGTAAGCAGAAGTCTTCCATTGCTCTGTACCAGTTTCTGCCCCTGTTCCCTCAATGATAGCCTGTGACATGGGAATGTAAGCCAAATAAACCCTTTCCTCCCCAAGTTGCTTCTGGTCAGAATGCTTTAAGCACAGCAATGGAAAGCAAACTAGGATACTGCTTGACCTGGTAGCTGCTGTTCTCCGTCCTCACACACTGCAAGCTACTGGGATCCCTTTGGAACATACACAGTGCCTGGTGGCACCTCCAAAAGTCTTCTTTCAATTGGCCAGGGCAAAGTCCAGATAAAGATGAGTGTATTTAACTTGAGCCAACACATTGCCTGGCAACAGAGAGCCAAAGACTAGGTTCACACTGCCTAGGGTCAAATCTCTGTGCTTTCCCTTACGTGGCTGTGTGACCTTGGCAATTTATTTAACCTCTCTATGCAGCGTTTACTTCATCATTAGAAACGGTGTATAGGGATGGGTGGGGAGAGGGGAGAGGTGTGGGGGAGGGTTACCTTCTTTGTAGAATGCTGGTGAGAATTAAATGAGTTTTATCGGTGGAGTGCTTCAAACAGTGCTGGGCATGTGGCAAGCCCCATGCAAGCTTTTAATGATTAAATGTGCTTCACAGGCAGTGGATCCTGTGAAGTATGTGGAGGCACACCATTATCTCAAGGTGTTTTGCTAATTACCCGGATTAAATGATTTAAAGCAATTTTCAAGGTTTAGCTTATTTTCTGACTCTAGTTTTGATGGTTTCTTTGAGCTGGTTTCCCTCTCTAGTTTTCAATTTGTCTAGGTTGAAGGAGAGAGGCGGGGAGGATGTCAGAGTCTCTTTGAACCTCCTCGAGCCGACTTTGTTGCCAGCAAGTCTGTCCAATTGAAGCTAATTAGCCAACATGCACTGTAGACCCTGGAGAAGCCAGTTGCTCCCCAGCAGCAAGGCTGAAGTCTGATGTGCACGGGGTAATCTCGGTGGAAGAAGCAACAGAATGAATACATGACTGCTCCGAACCCTCAGCATGGGCTGGGAATGCCCTTCCTCCTAGGGATCGAAGACCAGGAAAGCTGCTGGAGAATTTGAACCCCTCCAGGCACCTACTGAACCAGACTCTTTGGGTGAGGCCAGCAGTCTGTGCCTAACACACACTGTTGAAATTGGAGAACCACCCTCTAGAAAATTCTCTCCAAATTAAAAATTAAACAGTTCTATTTTTTCCCAGTCAATTAAAGCAGGAGAAATGCCTGCTAGCCATTCTCACCAAACCCCTACCTTTAACCTTTGAAAACATATTAAACAAAACATAAACAGACGAAATAACATTTGCATAAACCACAACTATTTTGATTGTAGTTGAAAATACCAGTTAATGGTTCACTAGATCGGTGTGTTCGGAAGTGTGTAATTGGGTTAATTTGTTGTCTGTGGTACTTCAAGTTCTGTCAAAGGGGCCTAAGCACATATTTCTAACAGGCTGTCTCTTTCCCTGGGTTATGCACTTTTGGGCTTTATTGAATTTTTTTCTTCTTCTAGCTGCCTTCATTGTTTTTGAGTGATTTATGACTGATCAACATAATGTCATTATGTTTTATTGATTTGTTTCAATTTTCTTCAGGGTAGGAGATTTGAAATAGTCTCTCATAACCTTTTGACAAAGTTGATTGACACTCATGTATTGTTAATAACTAAAATCAACTAGCAGTGGTATGAGATGGGGTTGCTTATTTTGAACTATGCACTGACATATATTTGATGGCTTTTTGCTTGAAAATTATTTAGAGTAGATAAATTTTTAAAAATAAAATTAAGTGGAATAATAAAACAAAATAAGTAATCGTAAGGGGAAAAATCTTACAGTGTGTCTGCTAATATAATATTATCTTTCCATTCTTAGTAAATTAAAAAATACTAAAAAAAATGATTTCAGAACAAATGCCAAAACAACAGCTATTAACATTTATTGTTATCACATTTATTTATTGTGTGTATGTGTACAGGTTTATGTACTGTAGGATGCACGTTGAGTCAGAGGGCAACTTGGGAGACTCAGTTCTCTCTTTCTA